CTTCTCGAATTTACCAGAAGGCCCCAGAGGCTTCATAACTAGAAGAGATTTGCGTGCGAAAGTACCAGAATTTTCCATTAGTCATAAAAACCCCAACGCTCTGCCGTTTTAGACCATCGGGGACAATTCTTCAAAGTTGAAACATCAAACTCAGCAATCAATTCTAGTACTCTCGCATTCTTAGAAACCATATGGCATTGATTCCGAGCTTCTTCGGCAACCAACGCAGTGGTATCTTCGATCCCTTCTCTCTGGATGTTTGGGATCCATTCAAGGACTTTTCTTCACTCTCCGCTCGTTTCCCTCAAGAAACATCTGCTATTGTCAACACGCGCATAGAGTGGAGGGAAACCCCGGAGGCTCACGTGTTCAAGGCCGATCTTCCAGGGCTCCAGAAAGAAGAAGTGAAGGTGGAGATTGAAGATGATAGGGTGCTTCAGATTAGCGGAGAGAGGAATGTAGAGAAGGAAGACAAGAAAGAGACGTGGCATCGTGTGGAACGTAGTAGTGGGAAGTTCTCCAGGAGGTTTAAGCTACCAGAGAATGTGAAGATGGATCAAATTAAGGCTTCTATGGAGAACGGAGTCCTTACTGTTACTGTTCCCAAGGTTGAGGTTAAGAAACCTGACGTCAAGGCCATTGAAATCTCTGGTTAAAACACTGAATGCTCTGTTTAAGAACAATGCTATGGATTGTCTATATGAAATTCATGTAAATGGAATGGAGTTTCTGTTTTGCTAAGAATTAATGATGTAAATCGTTGTGACAATTTTTTTCTTGATTAATTTATATTACTATTGATTTTTGGGCATAAGGTTCAGGAGCAAGGCATTGTATTACATAATGACAGTTTCAAGGCTTTGTATAGATCCGAAATTCAGCAACATTATAGAACAGGGGTTATTTCATAGTCACATTTGGGCATATTTTATGGTTTTAAACATATTTTCATCACATATTTATTAGATAATGTCAAGATATCATGATATATTATTTATTGTAAAATTAATATGTAAAAAAATTAGAATATTATAAGATCTAATGTTTCAGTAATTTGAAGGGTGTATTAGTAACGTTACTAATGTGATTATAAAAGGGGAGAAGCAAAAGAATTAATTCAAACAAAGTTAGACAAAGGAGTATGGCCTATTTGATAAACTGTGAAAAATTGTCATTCCAGCAATCTCTTCAAAAATGTTTAAGGGTAGTTATGATATTTGCCATTTTCATTCGGTTTAAAGCGTTGCCAGCAGCACGTTCTCACAAACTTTGCTTATAATCTCCACGTGGTAGTTGAGTTGGTATTATCACGTCAATTTCACCGCACTTAAGACTCAAAATGATTTTGATTGAACCAAAGAAATAGATCAATCGTTCTTTATGAAAGAATGATCGTTCCTTATGAAAGAACGATCGTTTCTCACAGAAGGAATAGTTATTCCTTATGAATGATCAATCATTCATTTCATAAAGAATGACTGTTCTTGAAAGAACAACGTTGTTATTTCAGAAACAAGGTTGTTCCAAGAAGAAGAGGAGGAAGAAGGAATAACGTTGTTCCAACAAGAAGAACAAGAAGAAGAACGAAATTGGAGAAGGGAATTGATAGGAGAGAAACAAGGTAAGGAACAACCATGCTTGGATATATGTTCAGATGGAGAATCAAATCTGGGATCGTATGTTTATTTATATTTTACACTATCATCAATTTGTTCTAACCATTTGGGCTACCTACGAATGAATTGCTTTCCTTTTCTTTCAATAATAGATTTTCTAAAGAGATATTTGTATACACTGATTTCTATATATAATGTACACTATCAAAATAAGTTGAAAGAATCACCTTTTTAAAAACATCAATATCTTTTTTAATATTGGTTGAAAATTTACTACAGACTTTATATATGATGTTAATGAGATGGCTCCCTCATTAAATGTCTATAATAGAGTTCTATTTCTCTTTTCCAAACCTTAATCACCTTAAATTTTTATACAGATCTTATTTTAATTGTAGATAATGGTCAATATTGATTTTACTTAAGCTCAATGTAAAGTAATTAAAGAACATTTTCTCTTGTTTACCCATAAGTTCTCTACCCTTAGACGGAAATTAAAATGACAACTCAAGTACTTGGATTTGACATTAACACTTAGCAATATTTAATGAGTCAAGTACATTTTAGTCCTAATTTTTGGGACCCAAAAGAGTCATAAAGTGACACTTAGGTCCATGTATATTAACTGATGGGCACGGGTCAGGTTGGGGCTAGGGACCCATGTCTTTGAGCCCAGCCTAAGGGCCCAAGGGGATTCCCTCAACCCGGCTCGTCCTTGAGACGAGGATGTAAAGGAATCCCTGAGCTTGGCCCACAGAGAATTCGGAGATTGTATGATTATGATTTTACTTTTACGCTATATATTTTTGGACCCAAACATTTTATTTGCAAGAATATATATAATATATATATTAACATTCACATATATGTTAGGAAATTATATATATATATATGTTATAATGATATTACGTACACCTTGGTAATTGATTCTAATTCCATGATTACACACCACGACACTTCCTCTCCAAAACCCCCAACAAAGTCGATCCTGTTTGCCCACCAAATGTCGCTGATCACTACTTCCTTTCCTAAGGTTTTTTGCTTGATTGATGATTTGGGTGTAATTGTTTGGAGTTGTTTTGTTGGAAATCGACTAGTAAAGTTGGTTTAGAAGTGTTTATGGTTGTGTGTAATTGTTTTTCCGATTGCTGGAATCAAAGGTGGCGAATGAGAAAGAAAGGTAATTTTGTCTTTACACTGTTTATATCATATGACATAACGGATTTTTCTAACAAAACATAATGGTGGATTTGAAAAGTGTTGTTTTGAAAATTGATGGGCGGGAAAAGTGGCATTTTGAAACTTGACAAGTGGAAAAGTGTTATTAGACCAAACCTTGGGTGAGAAAAATCATTTACTCTATTTTAAAATCTCCTTTTAAACCCATTTAATATCAAAATTACCTGTTTAGAGAAAAATATGTTTTTTCTTTACACCCGATTTTTCTAATTTTTAGTTCATCTGGATTAGTAGACTTAAATCATTTCCTTATTTTATTTTCTAAATTTATAAAGATCCATTGACATATGGCAATTATAATATTAGATAGTAAATATCTATGCATTTAATTTTTTTTTCCTCGTAAGTCTCCTGAAACCAAGATTTTGTCTTCTTAATTACTATATAAGTTTTCTATATTTTCTATACTTTTTCTGTCAACAAACGATTAAGTAAAGAATTATGTATTCCTAAAAAAATTCCAATAATTCTAAGAAAAATCTACCGTGATAAATATAATCGGTTAAATTAATAATTTTGCCTTCTTTTTTTTTTTTTTTAAAGCAATTTAAAAAATAAACTATGAGTTTTTTAAAAGTTGTGAAAAATAATAGATAAAAGGAAAATATATAATAAAAGGCTTTTACCCATTTGAGGTTTGGGCCTTTAATGAAAGCTTAACTTGGGAGCCCATATAAGAAGAAAGTCTAGAACTTTCTAGCAAGCCCGGAACATAAGAACTCCGCGAATTTACGAGAAGGCCCCAGAGGCTTCATTAACTAAACAGAAGAGGTTGCGCGCGAAAATACCAGAATTTTCCATTGTTCTTAATAAAAACCCCAGCGCACTTCCGTTTTAGACTATCAAAGACAATTTTTCAAAGTTGAAGCTTCAACCTCAGCAATCAAAACTAGTACTCTCGCATTGTCAGAAACCATATGGCACTGATTCCGAGTTTCTTCGGCAACCAGCGCAGCAGCATCTTCGATCCTTTCTCTCTGGATGTTTGGGATCCATTTAAGGACTTTTCTTCACTCTGCACTCGTTTTCCTCAAGAAACTTCTGCTATTGTTAACACCCGGATAGACTGGAGGGAAACCCCGGAGGCTCATGTGTTCAAGGCCGACCTCCCTGGGCTTAAGAAAGAAGAAGTGAAGGTGGAGATCGAAGATGACAGGATGCTTCAGATTAGCGGAGAGAGGAATATAGAGAAGGAAGACAAGAACGACACATGGCATCGTGTGGAACGGAGTAGTGGGAAATTCTCCAGGAGGTTTAAGCTACCAGAGAATGTGAAGATGGATCAAATCAAGGCTTCTATGGAGAATGGAGTTTTGACCGTTACTGTTCCTAAAGATGAGGTTAAGAAACCTGACGTCAAGGCCATTCAAATCTCTGGTTAAAACACTGAATGTTCTGTTTAGAACAATGCTATGGATGTGGATTGTCTATATAAAATTAATGTGAATGCAAGGGAGTTTTGCTAAGAATTAATAATGTGACTCGTAATGATATGTCAAGAACTCAATAATGTGCTATCTATTGTACAAATAGTATGTTAAACAATTATCGTAAATATAAGATCTAATGTTTTCAGTAATTTGAAGGTTGTATTAATATTTAATAACGTTGTTTATAAACCTTGATGACCTTATGAATTACAGAGATCTTACTTGATTGTAGATAATAGTCTATACTAATTTTACTAATGTTACCCAAAGTTCCAGAATTTGCCATTGCTATTTCAGCCCCGTTTTTCATCTTCAAACCCTAAAATTTGCCCAAGCTAAAATCCAACACTTTATGGTATCTCCAATTTCTTTCAGCTATATTTCCTTCTATTGAACCGGGTCTTCTCTCTAACTTTAAGGTTGGTTTGGTTATTAATGTATATTTTGTTTTTTTTTTTTTTGTTTTTTTTTTAATTCTGTTTGGGTGCTGAGAAAAGATGCAAAAAAGTGAAGTTTTTTTAAGCTTATGGGTTTTGTAATTTGGGCTATGAGAACACTGGAAGTAGAAAGATTAGTTTTTAAGTTGTTTAGTTCCCGTTTGGTAGCTGAGAAAGTGACGGAAAGTGGGAGGACGCAACGGGAAACGGCATTTTGTGTTGAACCTTAGCTGTTGTTTGATCTGGGTCTTATTCAATGTTAGAATAATAGAATATAACAATTCGGGGATTTCTCCCCCTAGTTCGGGGAGGGGATGGATTCATCTGACGGGGACGGGGAATGGGAAATCCGGCCCCGCCCCGTTGCCATCCCTACTTGTCTTTACTCTTTGCCGTTAAAATCGTAACACGTTTGGTGCAATAAATTGTAGTTTGACATATTCGCAAGCTTATCACGCTCTCTATGGCCGTGTGACCAAAGGTTTAGCTCTTCTGTATTTTCTTTCAAATCTTGTATTTTGAGTTTTTTTTTTTTTTTTTTTTAATATCATATGAAAACGAATAGAACTAGTCGCATGATACGTTGTTTTGTTGAACCCACGAAACAAGCTTATGGGTCACTTAAGAGTTTATGTTATCGGTTTGTATTTTCATCTTTGCATGTAAACTGTTTGTCAAAATGCGTAGCTAACTGATGGGATTGTGTTTGCATGTTCCACTTGTCGTAAGCCGCCCCGTTTGTGTAAAATGTTGAATCATAAGTGGATACTCTTGAAGATTGTTGATTCTTTTTTACACAATGTAGTGCTCGAATAATTTGTGAATGGTTGTGGTGTTATTGATTAGACTTTGTAGCAAAATGATTTCTTAAGCATATGAAATTAGTTTAATGCTTTTCAAAAGTTATTTGCCTGTTAATTGTATGTATAATATGGATATGGCACAATTGTCTTGGGTTTACATTTTTATTTTTTTTCCTGTAAATTAGCACTTGTTTAATTGCTGGTTGCTTTCTTGTTCTGACATTAGAATGTCTGATCTTGAATACCAGATCAAGTTCTTATGAGAACAATGCTGCCTAGACGAATTCGAAGCCTTGTGAATTTGCATGATTTGATTATGCAAAATTCTAATGCAAACATTGTTGGTGTAAATAAGTTAAAGCATCCATGTGGTATGTACTCTACTGGATCAATCCGCCCAGAGTTCCCAAGGAAGCTAAAGAAAAATGAGCGGAAACCATTGGTCACAAGTATTAATGAACTTAAGCGTTTAGCTAGAAGGGAAAAGAAACAGCGGCAGATGGTGAAAGAGAAGATTCTACGGCCTCCAGAAAATGGATTATTGGTCAAGGAATTGATACCAATTGCTCATGAAGTTTATGCAGCCAGAACTGAATTATTTGCTTCTGTTTCAAAGATTGTTGAGAGTATCTCCATATATACATGCAGGTAAGCACTCAGCTTTCTTAATCATTGTCTAAGAGACTAGACTATTGAGTTGAGTTGAGTATAGGAAGTTGTGGATAGGCATCACCTTTTAATAATTATGCCGTCTGTACTTTGGTAACCTCTAATTGTAACTTTGTATTACATGTTCTAGCTTGTTCTAGAAACAGATGCCTAAAGTTTAAAAAATAATCATGTTACACACACATTTATGAGCCATATAAGAAAAGGAATGCATATGATATGGAAAAATCCTACTTCTCTTGTGAGCCCAATCTATTGAAGTCAAAACTTAGGAACTCGGATTGAAAACAAAATTACATACAGTGATAAACTTGAAAGTGGAAAGGATAAAGCAGTGTAAATGGAAATTCTGGTTTTTTATTATTCTTATTATTATTATTATTGATCTGATTGATAGTTTGACATAAACTTTTTTTATGATTGTAAACTTGTCTTTTGCAGCTTGTGTGGAGAAGTTCATGTTGGTCATCCACCGCATAAGATCAGAACGTGCAACGTTGCAGGTAGCCCAGCAAACAAAGAACACACTTGGAGTATTGGGGATATGAAGCATGTTTTGCCTCCTGTGGAATCTTGTCATCTATACGACAGGGTAGGGAGAGCTGTTTCGCATAATGAGAGGCTTGAAGTGGATCGGATTCCAGCAGTTGTTGAATTGTGCATCCAAGCAGGCATTGACATCCCTGAGTACCCTACTAGGAGAAGGATTTTTCCTGCTTACAATATTGCGGGTAAAGTTATTGATTTTGAGAAAAGGTTCCCAAAAGAAGTTGCAACTGGCAAAGGCATAGACACATGTGGATTTTGGGGTAAGGGAAAGAAGTCAAGTGAAGAAAACAAGCTTATGGACATGCTGTCTGATGATACACAAGGTTTTGTTGATTATTGATTTCCCTTTTTTTTTTTTTTTTTTTTTTGGCCCTTGACTTAAGTGATACTAGATTTTCGCTTTTCATCCAAAATTTGGGCCAGGATTTGACTTTTGACTCTTCCCTGCCGTGCCAAAATATACTCAGTGTCTTAGATTACTCTAGATCCCTTCTTGTTCCTATTATCTTTTATTAATGACTTTGATAAAACCTACCTCTTCATTTTTTTTTCCCAATCTGATTCTATAGCCGAGTGAAATTGGATAGAGTTATGTCCTCGTTGTTTCAATGTTTTGTCATCTGGCTTAACGAATGTAGTTCAATGAAGGCATACTGTTTTTCTGACATCCATACAGATGTTGCTGTTAGAGGTATGGAGGCATGGGAGAGAATGCGGTCAGGAGCATCCAAACTCATGCAGAAGTATGCTGTCCAAACCTGTGGATACTGTTCAGAGGTCCAAGTGGGGCCTAAGGGTCACAGAGTGAGGAATTGCCAAGCTTATAAGCACCAGATGAGGGATGGGCAACATGCATGGCAGGAGGCAACAGTTGATGATTTGGTTCCTCCAGTGTATGTATGGCATGTTCAGGATCTAACAAGTGGCAAACAATTGGTTAATGATTTGAAGAGATACTATGGTATGTTGCCTGCTGTAGTGGAACTGTTTGCTCAGGCTGGTGCAAAAGTAACTGATGATTATGCTGGCATAATGAGGGAAGATGTTGCAGTGCCTGAGTTGGATGAAGAAAAGTGGGTTGTCTAAAGTTGATTGGATCAGATTGGTTGAAGCATCAAAATCAGCAATCAAATCTAGTACTCTCGGCATTCTCAGAAACCATATGGCACTAATTCCGAGCTTCTTCGGCAACCAACGTAGCAATATTTGTTATTCCTGTGATAAATCATTGATTCAATTATTTGACGGGAATGAATGTTCCAGTATTCTGCTTGACATTTAAAAGAGGCCTAGAAGAGACAGAAGTAGAAACATGAACACCAAGCAAAATCAGGATAAGAAAAAAAAAAAAATCCTGAACATTGCGGTCCAAGAAAGCTGCATTATCTCTTGATTCCGTCTGTATTTGTTAGGCCACCCATTATTAAGAATTATCACAGGCAAGGCGGAGGGACGTTGGGTGTGAATAAAGGGAAGGGGAGTTAGTTAAGTGGACTGTATACATGTCCTTAGTTGATTGGGGCTTGAGTGAGAATCAATGGGAATATAAGGGAAGAGTCTTAAGACGTGAGTATGGTTAGTTTGTTAAGGGAATAATACTAGGAGGTCTCTAGCTCCTCGAAGTGCTAGAATTCTGTTTTGCATTTATCAGTTACTCTTTCTGTATTTCAGTTTATGTACTTCTCTGATAATTCAGTATATATACTTCTTTGATTATCAATATAATTCTGGAATATTTCATGTCTGTGGAATTATTTGAATTTCTGTGGTGTGCGTGTGTTGATTGCCAAACAGTGAGTTGAGAGGGGTCTGTATCATTGGTATCAGAGCGAGGTTGGGGTATGGTAAAAACAAAAATGGACACTAGAATGGACAACGTAGAGAAGGAGGGGGAACGATGAAGCGAGATATGGGTGCCGTCAGAGAGGACCTTGGGAATATTAAGGAGGACATGGGTAGTCTTAAAGGATATCTCCTGGAGCTCCGGGAGTGGATGAGGTTAAAAGAGGAAAGGGAGGCCAGTCACTACCGAGAAAAAAACAAGGTGACTGGATCGGAAAACTCTGGAGGTGAAAGTAGTAAGGATCAACATCGATCGGGAGGGGAAGAGACAGGAAGAGAAGAACGGAGAATCAAAAAATTAGAGCTACCGGTGTTTAATGGGGAAGACCCGTATGGCTGGACATTCAAGGCTGACCATTATATTTCCATTAACCATTATACAGAGAAGGAGAAGGAGAAGGTGGAGGCTGCCACTGTGTGTATGGAAGGGCGAGCACTAAATTGGTATCAATGGATGGACTCTCGGTCACCGATTGTTTCCTAGACAGCCTTCAAAAACGCGATCATCAACTGATTCAGACCATCCTTCAAGGGCTCCGCATTCGAAGCCTTGGTGGCGTTGAGGCAGACAGGCACCGTGACAGAGTTCCGAGGGCATTTTTTCAAATGGGCTGAGGGAAGAAATAAAAGCATATCTGAGATTAACCAAGCCCACAAATCTGCATGACCTCATGGAGCAGGCCCATAAAGTGGAGGAGAGAAACTAGGTTTTAGAAAAGGGTCGGGTCTGTAACAGTATTTAAGAGGAAAGCTCAAACAAAGGAGTGGCTAAAATTAACAGTATCTTTGGCAGTTTCTGCATATGTAGCTATCCTACAAATTTTATTGATTCCCATTACTTGTTTGAGGCTAAATTTCAACAGTTGCAGAGGAAAATCTCCCTGAAAAAAAAAAAAAAAAAAAAAAAAACAGAAGAAGAAAGTAAAAGAGAGATGGAAAAACAAGGGTGGAGATGCAGAAAACTGGTGCTAGTTCCATGTCCATTCCAAGGACACATAAATCCGATGCTTCAGCTAGGCACCATCCTTCACTCCAAAGGTTTCTCTATCACAGTTGCTCATGCCCAATTCAATTCTCCTCAAACTTCCAATCATCCTGATTTCATCTTCCAATCCCTACCAGATGGCATATCATCCAAACCTGACATCCCTCGTGATTTTTTAGCTTTCATGTCAAGTCTTAACTTGAACTGTAGAGCCCCATTCCAGGAATTTCTAAGTCAGATGATAGGAAAACAGGAGCAGCAAGACGAACTCCCCTGCATAATTTATGATGCACTCATGTACTTTACAGAAGCAGTGTCTAGTCACCTGAAGCTACCAAGCATCATCTTACAAACTGGTAGTGTTACCACTATGCTGACGTACTTTGCATATCCTCGACTCCAAGAGGAAGGTTACATTCCCCCACAAGGTATAAGAACTCCATATTGTTTTCACTGAATATGTGCTAATTACAATTGTAATGCTCACAGTTTAACACAATGAACTAATTTTAACATGTTTCCTTTACGTGAAGGGGAGATGGTATTTCAAGTCTTAATTTTGTAGATCAATTTGTAGCATAGCTCCGCTGGTGATGATTTCTGAAGCTTGAAACTACCACTTTTTTAATGCAGATTCCAACTCAACAGAGTTAGTGCCTGGGCTTCATCTCCTCAGACTCAAGGATCTACCATCAAACACTTTCGATGATTTAGATCCCACTCTGCAACTAATAGCTATACTGAGCAATATAGGATCATCTTCAGCCATCGTTTGGAATAGTATGGACTGCCTTGAACAATCATCATTAGCACAATATCAACAACAATTCCGAGTTCCAAATTTGTCAATAGGTCCTATGCACAAAATTGCTTCGGCGTCCTCTAGTAGCTTACTGGAAGAGGACAGCAGTTGCATCTCATGGCTTAACAAGCAAGGTCACAACTCAGTTATATATGTAAGTTTTGGAAGCATAGCATCCGTGGATGCCAAAGACCTAACAGAAATGGCTTGGGGCCTAGCCAACAGCAAGCAACCTTTCCTGTGGGTGATTAGGCCAGATCCTGATAATGGAGCAGAACCTACTGATTGGTTGCCTGATGAATTTAAAGAGACTGTGGGAGAAAGAGGCTACATAGTGAAATGGGCACCACAACAAGAAGTATTGGCACATGGTGCTGTGGGAGGATTTTGGAGCCACTGTGGTTGGAATTCAACCATTGAAAGTATAAGTGAAGGGGTTCCAATGATTTGTAGGCCATGTTTTGGGGATCAAAAGGTGAACACAAGGTACATCAGCCATGTATGGAGAAATGGGTTTGAATTGGAGAATGATTTGGAAAGAGGGAAGATAGAGAGAGCGATAAAGAGACTGATGGTGGAAAAAGAAGGGGAGGAGATGAGGCAGAAGGCAGCAGAATTGAAAGAAAAAACTGAAGTTAGTATCAAGAAAGGTGGATCTTCTAATAATTCCTTGAATGAATTAGTAGAGCTTATAACGTCAATTTAATGCCAATTGCCATCAAAACTAGTGTCTTCAGGCATCCTAGCCTCATGAATGGCCAAAAATCTTACTGTCATTATTATCTTGTTAATATGTTTATTTATTTAAAGAATAATTCATTCTCTTCAAGTTCATTTGTATTTGGTTAAAGATAAATGAAAAAAAAAAAAAAATCTATAAATGCAAATGATAGTAATTAGGGGTGTTCGGTTCCAGTTACCTTGCATTTTTTGAAGGAACTGGAACCTGTAACAATAGTTCTGGTTCTGATTTTGGATACCCTGTAAAATTATAATGGCCCTCTATTTTGCACTTGTTAACAAAAATAAAATTACAAATTATAAATTCAAAATTACAAACTTCATTACTTTGTAAATGTAGATTCTTAAAAATCAAACTAGCTTACTTTAAATGTTACGAAATATAAATATAAATGTATTCACATTACTTATTCTACAAAAGTTTTTGTTAACCCCTTTACTCTTTAATTTTATTTTATATTAGTCTTAGTTTCTGGTTTCGATTCTGATTCCGGTTCCTAACTATAGGAACCGAAATTGGAATCGCACAGTAACGGTTCCAAAAATTTAGAATCGGAATCTACCCGTTGACAGTTGGTTTCGGGTATCCGCTATTTCCAATTCTAATCAGTTTTTTTGAACACCCCTAATAGTAATAAAGCAAGATATTACCAATTTAGGTATAACTTTTTTTTTTTTTTTTTGGTTTTTATGAAATGTTAAAAAAGGGACACAAATATTAAATTTAAGAACACTTTTTATTAATTGTACTTAAATTTAATAGCAAACAATGACAAATTAGTAATTGTATAAGTTATAAGAAAATAAATCAAAATGAAGTCTACTATAATACTTTTATCACGTGTCTAAAAAATTTTTAAAAATAAAATAGATATTAAAAAGAAACTGAAAAAAAAAAAAAAAAGGAAAAGTTGTTATCAACGACTTTTTTTTTACTTTTTTAATTTATTTTTTAAATAAAAAAATACTTTGTTTTATGTAAAAAAAAAAAAAAAATTGTCATTATTTTAAAATTTTAAAACCAGTTTTCCTATTTATAGTATTTCTTATTTTGTTATTATTATATTTAAACTTTGGAATCAGCAAATTTTCTAACTTTTTATCTAATTTCTTTTTTAGTTTTTAATTTTAGGATTGGAAGACTAAAACCAAATAAATAATTTTAGAGTATCTAAATTTTTTTTTTCTATTAAAAATTAACTACACGTGCGTCTAAGTTGAACAAAGTTATTATTTAGTATTCCTAAATTGAACAAATTGAAACTTGGATACGTTTTGTCTCTAAATTGAATAAAATGACTATTTAATATTCCTAAATCGATGTTCGTTTTGTCTTTAAATTGAATAAAATATCTATTTTAATGCCTGTAAATCTATCGAATTCAAACTTGTTTCCATTTTTTAGCCTTTCGTAAAAGAATTGCATCTAAATTGATAATATATAACCACCCACTTGTGGTCGAGTGGATAGGAGGTGTTTGGTTGAAAGCGCCCCGTCTTGAGTTTGAGTTGTAATAAGGGTGGCTAATTACCATAAAAAAAAAAATTATATATATATAATCAATAATATATCCTTAATAAGGCTAAAGCAGTAGCTCCTTCTGGAAAGCTTCGGAAGGTTCTCGAATTTACCCGAAAGTTCGTTAACTGAAAAGCCCAAAAACATCGAGAAAGTACTTGTATTACTTCCTTAAATCTTATAAATACCCAACTGATCGCACTCTCTGTTCACCAAAGGTCCAAGCATTAGCAATCTTTCTGAGCATCCGAACAACTTTGAAATTCAATTTCCTGTAGGAAAATGTCTCTGATTCCCAGCTTCTTTGGTAATTCTCGAAGCAGTATCTTCGATCCCTCTTGGGACCCATTCAAGGACTTCCAATTCCCTTCTTCTTCCTCTCATTTCCCTCAAGAAACCTCTGCATTTGTCAACACGCGTGTCGACTGGAAGGAGACCCCAGAAGCCCATGTGTTCAAGGCCGATCTTCCAGGGCTGAAGAAAGAGGAAGTAAAGCTGGAGATTGAAGATGACAGGGTGCTCCAAATAACTGGAGAGAGGAACATAGAGAAGGAAGACAAGAACGACACGTGGCACCGTGTGGAACGTAGCAGTGGGAAGTTCTCGAGGAGGTTCAGGTTGCCGGAGAATGTGAAGATGGATCAGGTGAAGGCTTCTATGGAGAATGGAGTTCTCACAGTCACTGTTCCCAAAGTGGAGATGAAGAAGCCTAATGTGAAGGCTATTGAGATTTCAGGTTAAAATGATAAATATAGATTAGAGTCATTGCCACTTACCAGTGACAAATAATTTTGTTCTGAGAGTATGTGATATGTGTTTTGTTTCTGGGTCTGATGCTTTGTTGCTGAAGTGCCATTAATAATCGGTAATATGTCCATATGATTATATGAATATAAGATAATAAATTTCCTTCTTGTTTTAGTTATTTCATTTTTCTTGTGGAATTCCTCTTCAATAGTTTTAGATCTTTTGCTAATTTCTGATGCTCATCTTCCGTGAACTAAAGAATTTGAGATTGATAAGGCATTGTGGTGGATACTGGATACCTTGTTACACGTTTGAACTCCTGGAAACAATGCAACATCGTGGACTGTAATGTGGCTTCAACATTCAGCTTTTCTACCTAAATTTTTCCCTTGTTAATAGTTGGTATTTATGAGTCCTTTAGATACATATTTCCTATCAGCATTTCTACCTAAATCCCATGATTTTTCACTCCATCATCTATTCAATTAGTATGACGAGAATGAATGCCCCAGTATTCAGCCTGAAGTTTGAATTGGGCCTAGAACAGGTAGAAGTTAAAGCATGAACAAGTAGTAAAACCAGCCTTAAATTGCCGTCCAAGAAGACAATTGTCTTTTGCTTCTGTCAGTGTTAAAATAAACGAGTGGCAAAATTAATAATGGCTATCCTACAAAGTTTATTGATTGTCGTTTAGTTGATCTGAGGTTATGCTTTTCTATACACGGAGGAGTTAACTACTTGTTTGAGGCTAGATTTCAACTAGTTGCAGAGAAAAATCTCCCTGAGAAAGATGCAAAACAGGAGCGGAGATGCCGCAACTTGGTGCTAGTTCCATGTCAATTCCAAGGACACATAAATCCGATGGTTCAGCTAGGCACCATCCTTCGCTCCAATGGTTTCTCCATCATAGTTGCTCATGCCCAGTTCAGTTCTCCTCAAACTTCTCATCATCCTGATTTTATCTTCTTTTCGCTACCAGATGGCGTATCATCCAAACCTGATGTCCCTCGTGGCTTTTTAACTTTCACGTCAAATCTTAACTCAAACTGCAGAGCTCCATTCCTGGAATTTCTGAGGCAGACGATAGAAAAACAGGAGCAGCAAGACCAACTCCCCTGCATAATTTATGATGCACTCATGTACTTTGCACAAGCAGTCGCTAGTCATCTGAAGCTACCCAGCATCATTCTACATACTGGTAGTGTCGCTAATATGCTGACATACTTTGCGTATCCTCTACTCCAAGAAGAAGTTATATTCCTCCACAAGGTACAAGAACTCATTGTTTTCACTAAAGATGTGCTAAAAGTAATTCTAACGCTTACAGCTTAATAATAATGAATTAATTTTACCATGTTTTCCTTCTGTGAAGGGGTGGTAGTATTTCAAGTCTAATTATGTGGATCAATTTGTAATCGTACCACTACGGGTGATGATTTCTGAAGCTTGAAACTACCACTTTTGATGCAGATTCCAACTCAACAGAGTTAGTGCCAGGGCTTCATCCACTAAGATTCAGGGATCTACCAACAACCAATTTCGATAATTTAGATGCCACTATGCAACTAATAGCTATACTGAGCATTATAGGATCATCTTCAGCCATCATTTGGAATAGCATGAACTGTCTTGAACAATCATGGTTAGAACAATATCAACAGCAATGCCAAGTTACAAACTTCTCGATAGGTCCTATGCACAAAATTGCTTTGGCCTCCTCTAGTAGCTTGCTGGAAGAGGACAGCAGCTGCATCTCATGGCTTAATAAGCAGAGACACAACTCAGTTATATATGTAAGTTTCGGAAGCATAGTGTCTGTCAATGCCAAAGAGCTAACAAAAATGGCTTGGGGCCTGGCCAACAGCAAGCAACCTTTCTTGTGGGTGCTTAGACCTGATCCAGTGAGTGGATCAGAACCTACTGATTGGCTGCCTGATGACTTTAAAGAGACTGTTGGAGAAAGAAGCTGCATTGTGAAATGGGCACCACAACAAGAAGTATTGGCGAATAGTTCTGTGGGAGGGTTTTGGAGCCACTGTGGTTGGAACTTTCAAGTGAAGGGGTTCCAATGATTTGTAGACCTTGTTTTGGTGACCAAAAGGTGAATACAAGGCACATCAGGCATGTATGGAGAAATGGGTTTGAGTTGGAGAATGATTTGGAAAGAGGGAAGATAAAGAGAGCAATTAAAAGGTTGATGATTGAAAAAGCAGGGGATGAGATGAGGCAGATGGCAGCAGAATTGAAAGACAAAACTGAAGATAGTCTCAAGAAGAACCTACTGTAATTTCTGTAACAATCAATCAACAGTTGCTATGGCAAAGAATCCAATCTTACACGGCAGGACAAAACACATCAAGATCAAGTTTCATGCTGTGAGAGAAGCTGAAAGTAATGCTGAAGTGAAATTAATCCATTGCAAGGGTGAAGATCAACTTGCGGATATCATGACCAAGGGTCTACCTAAAACCAAGTTTGAGAGTTTGAGACTTAGACTTGGTGTTTCCAGCAAGCTTATCAAGGAGGAGTGATGATGTAGGTGATAACCTACTGGAAATGGGACAAATTCCGGTTGAAGATTCAAATTGGATTTTTGGAGCCAAAGTTTCAGTTTATATTTTGTTAAGTCTGCAGTAGTTGTGGAGCAGATATTAGGCCAATCAAGTGAAGATTTTATGACTTATTTAGTTGAGATTTAGACTTGGTTTGGTGCATAATTTTTGCTAAAGTTCATTTGTAATATTTTAATATACTGCAGTAGGTAAAAACAGTGATACAGCTTGTATATTCGTCTCTGTTTTTATTATGAAAAAGTAGAGAGAAAAACTCTCAATTTCTTGCCGTCTCCTTCATTGCAACCTCTCATTTTTTACTCTGAACTTTTCTTCCCTGAACCAACAGTAAGAGAGAGAGATGGAAAAACAAGGGCGGAGATGCAGAAAACTGGTGCTAGTTCCATGTCCGTTCCAAGGACAGGTAAATCCGATGCTTCAGCTAGGCACAATCCTTCACTCCAAAGGTTTCTCTATCACAGTTGCTCATGCCCAATTCAATTCTCCTCAAACTTCCAATCATCCTGATTTTATCTTCCAATCCCTACCAGATGGCATATCATCCAAACCTGACATCCCTCGTGATTTTTTAGCTTTCATGTCAAGTCTTAACTTGAACTGTAGAGCCCCATTCCAGGAATTTCTAAGTCAGATGATAGGAAAACAGGAGCAGCAAGACGAACTCCCCTGCATAATTTATGATGCACTCATGTACTTTTCAGAAGCAGTGTCTAGTCACCTGAAGCTACCAAGCATCATCTTACAAACTGGTAGTGTTACCACTATGCTGACGTACTTTGCATATCCTCGATTTTTTTTTTTGGTTTTTATGAAATGTTAAAAAAGGGACACAAATATTAAATTTAAGAACACTTTTTATTAATTGTACTTAAATTTAATAGCAAACAATGACAAATTAGTAATTGTATAAGTTATAAGAAAATAAATCAAAATGAAGTCTACTATAATACTTTTATCACGTGTCTAAAAAATTTTTAAAAATAAAATAGATATTAAAAAGAAACTGAAAAAAAAAAAAAAAAGGAAAAGTTGTTATCAACGACTTTTTTTTTACTTTTTTAATTTATTTTTTAAATAAAAAAATACTTTGTTTTATGTAAAAAAAAAAAAAAAATTGTCATTATTTTAAAATTTTAAAACCAGTTTTCCTATTTATAGTATTTCTTATTTTGTTATTATTATATTTAAACTTTGGAATCAGCAAATTTTCTAACTTTTTATCTAATTTCTTTTTTAGTTTTTAATTTTAGGATTGGAAGACTAAAACCAAATAAATAATTTTAGAGTATCTAAATTTTTTTTTTCTATTAAAAATTAACTACACGTGCGTCTAAGTTGAACAAAGTTATTATTTAGTATTCCTAAATTGAACAAATTGAAACTTGGATACGTTTTGTCTCTAAATTGAATAAAATGACTATTTAATATTCCTAAATCGATGTTCGTTTTGTCTTTAAATTGAATAAAATATCTATTTTAATGCCTGTAAATCTATCGAATTCAAACTTGTTTCCATTTTTTAGCCTTTCGTAAAAGAATTGCATCTAAATTGATAATATATAACCACCCACTTGTGGTCGAGTGGATAGGAGGTGTTTGGTTGAAAGCGCCCCGTCTTGAGTTTGAGTTGTAATAAGGGTGGCTAATTACCATAAAAAAAAAAATTATATATATATAATCAATAATATATCCTTAATAAGGCTAAAGCAGTAGCTCCTTCTGGAAAGCTTCGGAAGGTTCTCGAATTTACCCGAAAGTTCGTTAACTGAAAAGCCCAAAAACATCGAGAAAGTACTTGTATTACTTCCTTAAATCTTATAAATACCCAACTGATCGCACTCTCTGTTCACCAAAGGTCCAAGCATTAGCAATCTTTCTGAGCATCCGAACAACTTTGAAATTCAATTTCCTGTAGGAAAATGTCTCTGATTCCCAGCTTCTTTGGTAATTCTCGAAGCAGTATCTTCGATCCCTCTTGGGACCCATTCAAGGACTTCCAATTCCCTTCTTCTTCCTCTCATTTCCCTCAAGAAACCTCTGCATTTGTCAACACGCGTGTCGACTGGAAGGAGACCCCAGAAGCCCATGTGTTCAAGGCCGATCTTCCAGGGCTGAAGAAAGAGGAAGTAAAGCTGGAGATTGAAGATGACAGGGTGCTCCAAATAACTGGAGAGAGGAACATAGAGAAGGAAGACAAGAACGACACGTGGCACCGTGTGGAACGTAGCAGTGGGAAGTTCTCGAGGAGGTTCAGGTTGCCGGAGAATGTGAAGATGGATCAGGTGAAGGCTTCTATGGAGAATGGAGTTCTCACAGTCACTGTTCCCAAAGTGGAGATGAAGAAGCCTAATGTGAAGGCTATTGAGATTTCAGGTTAAAATGATAAATATAGATTAGAGTCATTGCCACTTACCAGTGACAAATAATTTTGTTCTGAGAGTATGTGATATGTGTTTTGTTTCTGGGTCTGATGCTTTGTTGCTGAAGTGCCATTAATAATCGGTAATATGTCCATATGATTATATGAATATAAGATAATAAATTTCCTTCTTGTTTTAGTTATTTCATTTTTCTTGTGGAATTCCTCTTCAATAGTTTTAGATCTTTTGCTAATTTCTGATGCTCATCTTCCGTGAACTAAAGAATTTGAGATTGATAAGGCATTGTGGTGGATACTGGATACCTTGTTACACGTTTGAACTCCTGGAAACAATGCAACATCGTGGACTGTAATGTGGCTTCAACATTCAGCTTTTCTACCTAAATTTTTCCCTTGTTAATAGTTGGTATTTATGAGTCCTTTAGATACATATTTCCTATCAGCATTTCTACCTAAATCCCATGATTTTTCACTCCATCATCTATTCAATTAGTATGACGAGAATGAATGCCCCAGTATTCAGCCTGAAGTTTGAATTGGGCCTAGAACAGGTAGAAGTTAAAGCATGAACAAGTAGTAAAACCAGCCTTAAATTGCCGTCCAAGAAGACAATTGTCTTTTGCTTCTGTCAGTGTTAAAATAAACGAGTGGCAAAATTAATAATGGCTATCCTACAAAGTTTATTGATTGTCGTTTAGTTGATCTGAGGTTATGCTTTTCTATACACGGAGGAGTTAACTACTTGTTTGAGGCTAGATTTCAACTAGTTGCAGAGAAAAATCTCCCTGAGAAAGATGCAAAACAGGAGCGGAGATGCCGCAACTTGGTGCTAGTTCCATGTCAATTCCAAGGACACATAAATCCGATGGTTCAGCTAGGCACCATCCTTCGCTCCAATGGTTTCTCCATCATAGTTGCTCATGCCCAGTTCAGTTCTCCTCAAACTTCTCATCATCCTGATTTTATCTTCTTTTCGCTACCAGATGGCGTATCATCCAAACCTGATGTCCCTCGTGGCTTTTTAACTTTCACGTCAAATCTTAACTCAAACTGCAGAGCTCCATTCCTGGAATTTCTGAGGCAGACGATAGAAAAACAGGAGCAGCAAGACCAACTCCCCTGCATAATTTATGATGCACTCATGTACTTTGCACAAGCAGTCGCTAGTCATCTGAAGCTACCCAGCATCATTCTACATACTGGTAGTGTCGCTAATATGCTGACATACTTTGCGTATCCTCTACTCCAAGAAGAAGTTATATTCCTCCACAAGGTACAAGAACTCATTGTTTTCACTAAAGATGTGCTAAAAGTAATTCTAACGCTTACAGCTTAATAATAATGAATTAATTTTACCATGTTTTCCTTCTGTGAAGGGGTGGTAGTATTTCAAGTCTAATTATGTGGATCAATTTGTAATCGTACCACTACGGGTGATGATTTCTGAAGCTTGAAACTACCACTTTTGATGCAGATTCCAACTCAACAGAGTTAGTGCCAGGGCTTCATCCACTAAGATTCAGGGATCTACCAACAACCAATTTCGATAATTTAGATGCCACTATGCAACTAATAGCTATACTGAGCATTATAGGATCATCTTCAGCCATCATTTGGAATAGCATGAACTGTCTTGAACAATCATGGTTAGAACAATATCAACAGCAATGCCAAGTTACAAACTTCTCGATAGGTCCTATGCACAAAATTGCTTTGGCCTCCTCTAGTAGCTTGCTGGAAGAGGACAGCAGCTGCATCTCATGGCTTAATAAGCAGAGACACAACTCAGTTATATATGTAAGTTTCGGAAGCATAGTGTCTGTCAATGCCAAAGAGCTAACAAAAATGGCTTGGGGCCTGGCCAACAGCAAGCAACCTTTCTTGTGGGTGCTTAGACCTGATCCAGTGAGTGGATCAGAACCTACTGATTGGCTGCCTGATGACTTTAAAGAGACTGTTGGAGAAAGAAGCTGCATTGTGAAATGGGCACCACAACAAGAAGTATTGGCGAATAGTTCTGTGGGAGGGTTTTGGAGCCACTGTGGTTGGAACTTTCAAGTGAAGGGGTTCCAATGATTTGTAGACCTTGTTTTGGTGACCAAAAGGTGAATACAAGGCACATCAGGCATGTATGGAGAAATGGGTTTGAGTTGGAGAATGATTTGGAAAGAGGGAAGATAAAGAGAGCAATTAAAAGGTTGATGATTGAAAAAGCAGGGGATGAGATGAGGCAGATGGCAGCAGAATTGAAAGACAAAACTGAAGATAGTCTCAAGAAGAACCTACTGTAATTTCTGTAACAATCAATCAACAGTTGCTATGGCAAAGAATCCAATCTTACACGGCAGGACAAAACACATCAAGATCAAGTTTCATGCTGTGAGAGAAGCTGAAAGTAATGCTGAAGTGAAATTAATCCATTGCAAGGGTGAAGATCAACTTGCGGATATCATGACCAAGGGTCTACCTAAAACCAAGTTTGAGAGTTTGAGACTTAGACTTGGTGTTTCCAGCAAGCTTATCAAGGAGGAGTGATGATGTAGGTGATAACCTACTGGAAATGGGACAAATTCCGGTTGAAGATTCAAATTGGATTTTTGGAGCCAAAGTTTCAGTTTATATTTTGTTAAGTCTGCAGTAGTTGTGGAGCAGATATTAGGCCAATCAAGTGAAGATTTTATGACTTATTTAGTTGAGATTTAGACTTGGTTTGGTGCATAATTTTTGCTAAAGTTCATTTGTAATATTTTAATATACTGCAGTAGGTAAAAACAGTGATACAGCTTGTATATTCGTCTCTGTTTTTATTATGAAAAAGTAGAGAGAAAAACTCTCAATTTCTTGCCGTCTCCTTCATTGCAACCTCTCATTTTTTACTCTGAACTTTTCTTCCCTGAACCAACAGTAAGAGAGAGAGATGGAAAAACAAGGGCGGAGATGCAGAAAACTGGTGCTAGTTCCATGTCCGTTCCAAGGACAGGTAAATCCGATGCTTCAGCTAGGCACAATCCTTCACTCCAAAGGTTTCTCTATCACAGTTGCTCATGCCCAATTCAATTCTCCTCAAACTTCCAATCATCCTGATTTTATCTTCCAATCCCTACCAGATGGCATATCATCCAAACCTGACATCCCTCGTGATTTTTTAGCTTTCATGTCAAGTCTTAACTTGAACTGTAGAGCCCCATTCCAGGAATTTCTAAGTCAGATGATAGGAAAACAGGAGCAGCAAGACGAACTCCCCTGCATAATTTATGATGCACTCATGTACTTTGCAGAAGCAGTGTCTAGTCACCTGAAGCTACCAAGCATCATCTTACAAACTGGTAGTGTTACCACTATGCTGACGTACTTTGCATATCCTCGACTCCAAGAGGAAGGTTACATTCCACCACAAGGTATAAGAACTCCATATTGTTTTCACTGAATATGTGCTAATAACAATTGTAATGCTCACAGTTTAACACAATGAACTAATTTTAACATGTTTCCTTTACGTGAAGGGGTGATAGTATTTCAAGTCTTAATTTTGTAGATCAATTTGTAGCGTACCTCCGCTGGTGATGATTTCTGAAGCTTGAAACTACCACTTTTTTAATGCAGATTCCAACTCAACAGAGTTAGTGCCTGGGCTTCATCTCCTCAGATTCAAGGATCTACCATCAAGCACTTTGGATGATTTAGATCCCACTCTGCAACTAATAGCTATACTGAGCAATATAGGATCATCTTCAGCCATCGTTTGGAATGGTATGGACTGCCTTGAACAATCATCATTAGCACAATATCAACAACAATTCCGAGTTCCAAATTTGTCAATAGGTCCTATGCACAAAATTGCTTCGGCGTCCTCTAGTAGCTTACTGGAAGAGGACAGCAGTTGCATCTCATGGCTTAACAAGCAAGGTCACAACTCAGTTATATATGTAAGTTTTGGAAGCATAGCATCCGTGGATGCCAAAGAGCTAACAGAAATGGCTTGGGGCCTAGACAACAGCAACCAAACTTTCCTGTGGGTGATTAGGCCGGATCCTGATAATGGAGCAGAACCTACTGATTGGTTGCCTGATGAATTTAAAGAGACTGTGGGAGGAAGAGGCTACATAGTGAAATGGACACCACAACAAGAAGTATTGGCACATGGTGCTGTGGGAGGACTTTGGAGCCACTGTGGTTGGAATTCAACCATTGAAAGTATAAGTGAAGGGGTTCCAATGATTTGTAGGCCATGTTTTGGGGATTGTTATAGATGTATATGACTTCCTAGATTATAGGGATCACATTAAAATCATTGATTATATGGATCACTTCTATCCTAATTTAGATTGATAACAAGTGTATATAAATATATATTCTTTTAAGCTATGAATAAGAAGAGTGAATATTCATTATGTTTATTTACGCGGTATCAGAGCCTTAAAAGATAATTAGGGTTTGGGTCTCAAAATTGGGAAATTAGGGTTTGGGTTTTAAATTGGGAAAACCTGTTTGGGTTGAGATTTGTTCAACACCGCCACCCAAGGGAGATTCAGAAGCCGTTGATCGGTAAAACCCCGAGTTCCGGCCATCAAAATCACCGCGCGTGAGCTCCACGCGCCACCCGAAACTTCGGTGAATAGTAACACGCGCCGGCGCGTGAGAGCGCGTGCACAGCTGACTTCTCCTCAAATTCTCTTCGTCTGCTTCGTCGGTACTTGTATAGCACATTTTCGTGCTGGATTGGGTAATCTCTTACTGGTTCACTGCTGTTCTTTGTTTGGATATTTTTGAGGACTTAGTTGTGATCTTTCGGCACTTTGTTTTCGTTTGGTTATTGGTTTTTTTATTGCTGTGGCCTTTGGTTGGTGGTGACTGTTGATTGATTTGGTGTGTCACTGAAATTTAGTTGGTTTGCTTTGTTTTAACCGTTTGTTGGTGTGCATTGGGATTATCATCTGTTTAAGACATGTCTGATACAAAGCCAGTGATGGAAATGATACCGACGATGTCGAAAATTACAGAACATAAGCTCATTGGTATAACTAATTACCATGATTGGCATAAAACTATTATACTGTATTTGCGGAGTATTGATAAAGATGATCGTATAACTGATGATCCATCTGAGGATGATTCGAAAAAGACATGGCTCCGGGATGATGCTCGGTTGATTCTACAAATACGGAACTCTATTGACGGTGAGGTACTTGGCCTAATTAATCATTGTGAGTTTATTAAAGAACTGATGAATTATTTGGAGTTTCTGTATTCTGGAAAAGGGAATGTTTCTCATATTTATGAAGTGTGTAAGGCATTCTACTGTGCAGAGAAACAAGATAAGTCTCTTACAGCTTATTTTATGGAGTTTACGAAGACTTATGAAGTGTTGAACATGTTGTTACCCTTCAGTGCTGATGTCAAAGTTCAACAAAAACAACGGGAGCAAATGGCAATCATGAGTTTTCTTGCAGGTCTTCCTTCTGAATTTGAGACTGCTAAGTCTCAGGTTCTAGCCAGTCTAGAGATCTCTTCATTGCATGATGTCTTTAGTAGGGTACTTCACACAGAAGGTACCCCACCGGTTCAGTTTAGTAATGCTCTCATCAGTCAAAAGAATGACTATGAATCTAGGCGATCACAATTTGGAAGTGGCAACAAAGGAGGAGGGTCAAATAGTAATATGAGAGGAATCGTGTGTCACTATTGCCATAAGCCAGGACACATGAAGCGTGATTGTAGAAAGCTTCAGAACAGAAATAGAAGAAATCCCTCTGCCCATGTTGCATCCACCAATGATACTTCGGATCAGTCAGTTCTTATCTCTGCAGATGAATTTGCCAAGTTTTCATTGTACCAGGAATCATTAAAGGCTTCACCTACTCCTGTCACGGCTATGGCTGACTCAGGTAAGCCAAATACATGTCTCCTTTCCTCATCCTCCAAATTCGTCATTGACTCTGGTGCAACAGATCACATGTCAGGTAATCCCAGTCTCTTTGCTACTTATCAATCAAAAACCCTTTCGAATGTGACTTTAGCAGATGGGTCACCATCCTACGTTCTTGGGTCTGGCACAGTTACCCCTACTCCACAGCTTCCCTTGTCAAATGTCTTACATTTACCAGATTTTTCTTTCAATTTGATTTCTGTTAGCCAACTTACTCGTGCTCTTAACTGTTGTGTTTTATTCTTTCCCGATTATTGCTTGTTTCAGGATCTTACGACGAAGAAGATTATTGGTAAAGGACATGAATCTGGAGGTTTATACATTCTCGACAGACCAAAATCTACACCTGTCGCTTGTTCTAGTGTTGCATCCCCGTTTCAAGCACATTGTCGTTTGGGCCATCCATCTCTTCCTTCATTGAAGAGATTGTGTCCTCAGTTTAATAAAGTGTCTACATTAGAGTGTGAGTCATGTCAGTTTGCTAAACATCATCGTGTCAGTTTTAGTCCTAGAGTCAATAAAAGAGCTAATTCTCCCTTTGAGTTAGTTCACTCTGATGTTTGGGGTCCTTGTCCAGTTCTGTCTAAAACTGGTTTTAGATATTTTGTTACATTTGTGGACGATTACTCTCGTATGACTTGGTTATTCTTAATGAAAAATCGTTCTGATTTGTTCTCTTATTTCTGTGCTTTTTGTACTGAGATTAAAACTCAATTCAATGTTTCTATTCATACATTGCGCAGTGATAATGCCAAAGAATATCTGTCAGTTTCTTTTCAAAATTACATGACCCAGAATGGCATTCTTCATCAAACTTCATGTGTTGATACTCCATCTCAAAACGGAATAGCAGAACGGAAAAACAGACATCTTCTTGAAACTGCAAGAGCCTTATTATTCCAGATGAATGTTCCTAAACCATTCTGGGCTGATGCCGTTTCCACCGCCTGTTTTTTGATTAACCGCATGCCGTCTTCTGTCCTTCATGGTGAGACCCCGTACAGTATTCTTTTTCCTAACAAAGCATTATTTCCTCTTGAACCTAGGGTATTTGGTAGCACTTGCTTTGTTCGGGATGTTCGACCATCAGTCACTAAATTAGATCCCAAGTCATTAAAATGTGTCTTTCTTGGTTATTCTCGACTTCAGAAAGGATATCGGTGTTATTGTCCAAGTCTTAATAAGTATCTTGTTTCCATTGATGTTACCTTTCTAGAAGAAACACCATACTTTCCCTCTTCTCCTGCAGATCGTCCGAAGGATGATGATAATGATGATTTGTTAGTTTATACCTTCACTTCCCCTGCACCAATATCTGAACCGGCTCCTATCTCTGATCCTGATCCTGCTCCTGCTCCTGCTCCTGCTCCTGCTCCTGCTCCTATCAAAGTTTACTCTCGTCGTCCACCTCCTCCCGTTTCATGTCCGGCACCAACTTCTTCGTCATCCGATCCAGTTTCAAGTGATGATCTTCCTATTGCATTGCGAAAAGGTAAACGACAGTGTACTTATCCTGTTTCTTCTTGTGTTTCTTATGATCATTTGTCACACTCATCATGTTCCTTTATTGCTTCCCTTGATTCTATTACTATCCCTAAAACTGTTCATGAAGCCCTTTCTCATCCTGGTTGGCGTAATGCAATGATAGAGGAAATGAATGCCTTAGATGACAATGGTACTTGGAAATTGGTAGATTTACCTTCAGGGAAACAGGCAATTGGATGCAAATGGGTGTTTACAGTTAAAGTTAATCCAGATGGGTCAGTTGCTCGACTAAAAGCTCGTCTGGTTGCTAAAGGATATGCTCAGACTTACGGAGTTGATTATTCTGATACTTTTTCCCCTGTGGCTAAGTTTACCTCTATTCGGCTGTTTATCTCTATGGCAGCTACTTATGATTGGCCTTTGCATCAGCTAGACATCAAGAATGCTTTTCTTCACGGCGATCTTCAGGAAGAGGTATATATGGAGCAACCTCCTGGGTTTGTTGCTCAGGGGGAGTATGGGAAAGTATGTTATCTTCGCAAATCTCTGTATGGTTTAAAACAGAGTCCTCGTGCTTGGTTTGGAAAGTTTAGTCAGGCTGTTGAGAGATTTGGTATGCTGAAATGTAAAACTGACCATTCTGTTTTCTACAAACGGTCTGAAACTGGCATCATTCTTCTAGTTGTGTATGTGGATGATATTGTTATTACTGGGAGTGACAGTGTGGGCATCACATCTCTTAAGTCTTTTCTCCATACCCAGTTCCACACAAAAGACTTAGGGATATTGAAGTATTTCTTAGGGGTTGAAGTTACAAGGAGCAAAAGAGGTATATACCTCTCTCAGAGGAAATATGTGCTCGACTTATTAACTGAGACAGGGAAATTGGGGGCAAAGCCATGTAGTGTTCCGATGGTTCCTAATGTGCAGCTTACGAAGGATGGTGAACTATTTGGAGATCCTGAGAAATATAGAAGATTGGTTGGGAAGTTGAACTATCTTACGGTGACTCGTCCAGATATTGCATATTCAGTAAGTGTTGTCAGTCAGTTTATGGCCTCCCCAACAGTTCATCATTGGGCGGCTTTGGAGCAGATCTTGTGTTATTTGAAAAGAGCCCCTGGACGCGGTATATTATATACCAATCATAGTCACTCTCACATTGAATGTTTCTCAGATGCAGATTGGGCAGGTTCCAAGGTAGATAGAAGATCCACATCAGGCTATTGTGTCTTTGTCGGAGGAAATTTAATATCATGGAAGAGCAAGAAGCAGAATGTTGTGTCACGATCAAGTGCAGAGTCGGAATATAGGGCTATGGCACAAGCTGTTTGTGAAATAATGTGGATATATCAGTTCCTGACTGAAATAGGCCTTGAAACTTCAGTACCAGCGAAATTATGGTGTGATAACCAAGCGGCTCTTCATATTGCATCTAATCCAGTGTTCCATGAACGAACAAAACACATTGAGATCAATTGTCATTTCGTCCGTGAGAAACTACAGCAAGGTCTAATTTCCACTGGGTATGTGAAGACTGGAGAACAATTGGGAGATATCTTCACAAAGGCTCTAACTGGGATTCGAGTTGATTATCTTTGTAACAAGCTGGGTATAATTAATATCTATACTCCAGCTTGAGGGGGAGTGTTATAGATGTATATGACTTCCTAGATTATAGGGATCACATTAAAATCCTTGGTTATAGGGATCACTTCTATCCTAATTTAGATTGATAACAAGTGTATATAAATATGTATTCTTTTAAGCTATGAATAAGAAGAGTGAATATTCATTACGTTTATTTACAGGGATCAAAAGGTGAAAACAAGGTACATCAGCCATGTA